TTTTTAATTTTTTCCAACCCCTTTTTTTTTTTTTTTTTTTTAACGGGATCTTAAAAACTTAAAAAAAATCCGGTTTTTTTTAAATTTTTCCCAAATTTTGTCTTTTTTTTGGAAAAGGGTTTTTAAAGGATGGAAAAAAAAAAAAAAAAGGAAAACCATTAAAAAAAAAAAAAAATTGGATTTAAGTAAACCAGAAATTTATTTAAAAAAATAAAATTTAAATTTTTTAAACATTTTAAAAATAAAACAAAAAAATTTAAATCAAAAAACAATACCGTATTATTTTTTTTTTTTTATAGTAAAAAAAAAATTTTAATTGTTCCCACCCAAATTTTTTTTTAAATTTTTACCCCCCCATTTAACTAAAAAAAAAACATTTGTTTTTTCTATATACAAAAAAATGTTTTCCCAAAAAACAATAAATATGTACAGGGTTGTTTTTTTATTTTATTTTTTTTTTTTGATTTTAATTTTTTTTTTTTTTAAAAAAAAAAAATTTTATAAAAAAAAAAAAGTTTTTTTTTTTTTTTTTTTTTTTTTTTTTTTTTAGCTTCAAGAAATAAATCTTGATTTTGGTAAACCTTTTGTTTTTTCAATACCAATTACTTTTGAGAAAGATGTACCTTGTAATTTTGCACCATTTAAATTTGTGTCAATTAAATTTGCACCATGGAGATTTGCTCCAGAGAGGAAAGAGTTTTGGAAATCTGCATTTTGAAGAGATGCATCACATAATTCGGCATCTGATAGATTTGAACCATGGAATCTAGAGTATTGCAATAGAGAATTTTGAAGCTGAGCTTTTTGTAGATTTGCAGAGCAAAGATTTGAATATCTCAAGTCACATGATTTTAAATTTGCGCCTTCTAAATTTGCACCCTCTAAATTACAATATCTTAATGACGAACCTTCCAGATTTGAGAAACGTAAATTTACACCAGATAAATTTAAACCAGATAAATCTAAACCTGCCAAGTTTGAAGATGGGATTTGAATGGGTTGTTGAGAGTGTGTCATATTAACTAATTGAATAATCTCCTTTTTGGTGTATTTATTTGGATCTGGTAATGATTGATTTTGAACCTGTTGCTGAATATGCTCTATCAAGGGTGTGATCTGATAATAGAATGCTTCGTTTAATACACACTCTCTTTCGACTGGGTCACTAATAAAGGGTATAAAATGTGATCTTAACCAATTTAAAATATAGTGAAAATATTTTCCATCACGGTCTATAAAAATTGATCCATCCTCTTCCTCTCTTTCTATATTGAATCTACCTGAAAACATTAATGAGAACATTGAATTTGAATCACTTAACAATGTTGTCAATGTTGTATAGTATATTGTACCTCCAATATTTAATTTTATAATTTTCTTATTACAATTTCCATCGCTGCTGCTGGTGTGATTATTATTAATTTTTGGTAAAAAATCTTTTTGTGTAACCCCTTCTTTAATTTCATTTTGTTCTTTAATTAATAAACTATCTTTTGGTGATGTTGATGGTGAATAAATCTTTGTTTTTTCATTAATTTCTATAGAAGAGTAAAAATAAAATAAAAATAAAAATAGTTAGAAAATTTTAAATAAATTAAAATATATTAAATATAAAAATTTATAAATTAAAATACCATTGATAATTAACTGTTTTAAAAATTCGAAATTTTTACCATCTATTCCATTACTACTACTATTACTATTGCCTAAAGAGGATGAAAATTCTTCATTTTCTTTATTGATTTCTTCTTCTTTCATTATACCATGTATTTAATGACCACTAAATAATGTTTTTAAAAAAAAAAAAAAAAAAAATTTTAAATGAAAATAAAAAAATTTAAATAAAAAATAAAAAAACAAATAAATATTTTAAATTAATTATTCGAAAAATATGTGTATATAGTGTGTGTTAATATATATATATAAAATAATTTTTAATTTAAAAAATAATTATTTATAATTATGAGAGTAAGATATTAATTTTCACAAAAAAAAAAAAAAAAATAAAAAAATTGAAAAAAAAAAAAAAAAATTATTAAAAAATAATTTTCATTTAAATTTTTTAAAATCCATTTAATGCCACATATTCAATTGATGTTTGCACATACACATTCAACAAAAACAACACCACATAACCAGCCATATATTTAGTTTTTAATTTAATTAAAATATGCACACAGTAATAATATTATTTTTTAAAAATAGATTTTAAAGATTTTTATAATAATAATATAAAAAAAAAAAAAAATTATTTTATAAATTAAAAAAAATAATAAAAAAAAATTATAAATCAAATTTATAAATCAATGTTTTTTTTTTTATATATATCTTTTTAATTTAAACAAATAATTTATTTTAATTATTAAAATTCTAAAAAGCACATAATAATAAAAGAAAATGAAACATAAATAATTTTTTTTAGCAAATTAAGTAAATTACAAAATACCACATATTTTAAAATTATCACACACCTCCAAAATAATAAATATTTTTTATAAATCCATATAAATCTAAAAGCATTACGATAACAATGTTAAATGTTCTTCATTTTTCTCATTTCTTTTTATTTATCTATAATTAATTGTAATTATTTTCGATAATCAATAGTAATTCTTTCTTTATTTATTTAATATTAGCACCAAATTATATGTATTTGGTCCAATAATACTTTTTTAAAATCCATCTTTTTTTATAATAAAGATTAACTTTGCATTAATATTATGGGTATAAAAAGAAACAAAAAAAAAAAGTATTATTATTATTTTTTTATATTAATTTTTAATTGTTGCTTTTTTTTATTTTAAAAAAATTATATAAATTTAATCTATCATAACTTAATAACAATTATAATAAATAGATTTATAGAATTCATTATATTTAAAACTATAAAATAAATAAAATGAAATTATTAATAATTTTTTCAATATTTTTATTATTTATTTATAAAATAGAATGTTTAGATCAAATAACTAATAAAAACAAAGACTATCATTTATATTTGATGGGTAAAGGAAGCATTGCTAAAGACTATCAATATTCGCGTGATGACTTTAATAACTATAAAGAAGTATCAAGTGATTTGGTATATGTTGCTGCAAATCAAACAACAGAATTTCAACATAATGGAGGTTCTTCCTTTTACTTGGATATTGTAACAAATAAAGAATTTTATATTTTTGTTGGTAATTTAGAAATCGGCCCACTTTTCGAACCAGAATCCTTCCAAATTAATTGTGAAACTCCACTCAAATTTAAAATCCTTATACCAAATGGAGGTTTTGCTAAAGTTTATATTATTAAACTTGATGAATTTGATAGAGAAGACTCATTAAGATTTACTGATACAAATAAAAATAGTGGCTTTATATCATTAGAAGGACCATTCAAGATGTCAAGAAAAGATAAAAAGTTATTTGATGAAGCCACATTCAACAATTTAAATACCAAAGCACCAGCTACCCAAATGCCAACACCAACACCAACACCAACACCACTACCAGTTACACAATCTCCAAGCCAATCAGTTTTACCTGAAACCCCAACTCCAACTGAAATTCCAACTGAGACTCCAACTGAATCAATTCCAACTGAATCAATTCCAACTGAAACCCCAACTCCAACTGAAACCCCAACTCCAACACCAACACAATCATCTGCATCAGCATCTTCATCATCTGCATCATCAAGTGAACCAAATGAATTAATGCCAATTGGTTCAACATCTGAATCTATGGAATCAAAATCAGAAATCACTGAATCATCTGAACAATCATCAGACTCATCATCTTATTCATCAGTCATTATTGATGATGATAGCAAAGATAATTTACAAAACACAATAACCACAACAGTTACAACTACTCAACAAAGTTCAACACAGTCATTACACTCATCATCAGAAGGCGGTTATGGAAAAATCGATAACTCTGGTGTTGTTGAACAAGTTTTCTATAAAGAAAATAATGATGAAAATGATTTGTTTGAAATTAACAATGCAAATAGAAACCACATTTCATCAAATTCATTTGTATTATTAATTGCCTCATTCATTTTATTAATTATTTTTTAAAAACTAAATTTAATTTTTAAATTAAAAGAAATAAAATAAACCACATTGTTTTTAATTTTAAATAAATAAATCTTTTTTTCTTTATTTTTTTTTTTTATTAATTTTTAAATAGTCTTATTGTTCGATTTGTGATAATAAAATTACAATCTCATCAATAATGCCATTTATATTTCTATCTTGACTTGGGGAGCTGTTACCGATTATAGAGAAAAATATTGGATTTTGGTTATTATTATGAATTCCTTTTGGTAAAACTACACCTGTTAAAGAGTGAACACCAGTCATCGAACCAGTTTTAGCATGGACAATACCTTGAGCTGGAGTATTAATGAAACGTCTAGAAAGGGTACCAGATACACCAGATACTGGTAAATAGGAGATATAGTCGTGTTGTGGATCACCAACATTAGTATATACGCCTTCAACAGCAGAAATGAGGGCTTTTGGTGTGATGAAATTATTTCTACTTAAACCTGAACCATCGACTTGAGTGTATAATAAACTTTGACCTAAAATAGATTGAATATATTGTAAACCTCTGGCATCAGTTGGTGTATTTGCTGGTAATGATGTATTTTGATTAAATGTACCTAAAAGTCTAAGGAAAGTTTCAGCATAAAGATTATCTGATGTTAAAAGAGTGTAGTTTAACATTGATGAGAGTGGTGGAGAATAGAGGGTGATTGGTTTATAATCATAACTGGTATCATTACAACTACCAATGGATGCAGATCCAACGTTTAAACCGTTTTCAGCTAACATCTCTGTGAAAACAGTAATGAAATATTGTTCTGGATCTAAAATTGGTACTGTAACTGTTTTTGCTTGACTGTTAGCTGCAATATTTCCACTTAAAACAATTGATGATGATGCAATTTTAAATTGATAGTTAATTGAGGTTACTGAATTTGATGCCCCTGTTACTATATTGTTAATAACTTGTAAATATTTACTTTCGCCTGGATATTGGAATGAAACTACTGGTTTTGATCCAACTTGAGTGCTTGGATTAATAAAGATATTCATTGTATTTTCGTTAACCATTAATGGTGTTGGAATTGCACCGTAATTTGATGTTAAATCCTCCCATTCCCATGCTGGTGGTATTGGGTCATTATTTGCATTTATATAAAAACTGTTATCTAAAATTAGATTTTTGATTGAACCTGATTTTGAAAAGAAGGTGGCTACATCTTGAATTTGGTCCATGGTCATAGATGGATCACCCATTCCTTTTACACAAAGATATTCGAAATCTTGATTTGGTTCGAATGGTTTATCTGTAAAAAATGGTGTTGCAACTTTAAAATCTTCACCAAAAGTATAAAAAATTGTAATGGTTGTTAAAAGTTTGGTGTTGCTAGCTGGTGTAAATGACTGTAATTCATTTAAACTATATAAATTTGTAAATTCGCCGGTGCTACTATCATAGCTATCGATTACAATACCCCATTGAGTACCAAAACAATTTGAACTTGGTGTACTCGAACAATTACTTAATATATTCTCTACTAATGATGATACATCATTTGGTGATACACTGCCATCAAAACTATAACAAAATGATGATTTTATTAAATTTAATAATAAAAATAAAAATATTAAATTTTTCATTTTATATTTGTATATTAAATTATTTATAATTGTATTATAATATTACATATAATAATTTTATTAATAAAACTATAAAAAAATAAAAAAGAAAAATTCTGCACTGGGATTTTTGGAAAAATAAAATAAAAAATAAAAAATAAAAAAAAATCTTTTTTATAGTTTTTTTTTTTTTATTTTTTATTTTAAAAATGCAAAGCTCCTTAAATGCCTCTTTTTAATATTATTTATTTCTATGGCATTTTTTTAAATAAAAAGTATTTAATGAAAAAATAAATAAAAAATAAAGAAAATAATGAACTATTATACAAAGTTTTTTTTTTTATTATATAATGTTATATTTATTATTATAGCAAGAGCGATGTTATTTTATTTTTAATTTTTTGTTGTTCGAAAAGATCAAATTAAATGAAGGGGTTGGAGCTAAATCGTTTGAAGAAGGTGATGGGAATTTATATACAGGTTTATGAGAGGTCATATTTCTAGTTTGAGGTGTTGTTGATGTGCATGTGGGTGTGGGTGTGGATGTAGATACTGATGTTATTGTATTGTTTTTATTACTAATGTTATCATTATTGATATTTCTATTTAAACTTTGAATTGTGTTTTCCAAATCATCAATTGAAAAAATTGAAACTATTTTCTTTTTTGAGGGAGAGCAATCACATAAATCTTCAAAATGAGATAAACAACAAACTTTTAAAACTTTTTGGTGTTGACCTTGCAAGTGTTGAAGATTACCAATATTTCTTTGAGATACCCATTGATATTCAATCTCCTCTTCAAATTCGACTGAATGTTCGCAGCAAGATACATAGGATAGGAAGCAATCGTATTTACAAATGTAACATTGAAGTGGTTCGTTATTTAAGAGTTCTTCTAATGATTTTGGGTTAGCTGTTTCGACTTTGAGCGGTGGGTTTTGTTTTATCAATTGATTACGCGATGATTGTTCTATTGATTTAATTTTTTGGAATTCTTTACTTAACCAATGTGATAATTCAGGTGAAGGTTGACGATTAGCAATAGAATACAATAGCTGTTCATGGGAGAATACTGAGGAACGATGGGTCTTTTGATAACGTTCTATTGAGCTACTACCAAATGGTATCCAATCGGCTGGGGCAAAATTAACAGCTTCTGCAATTGTAAAACCATGACTAAAACCTGCATGATAAGCTTGTGGAAAAGTGATGACATATTCACCTGGACCTTGTAGACATTTATAAATTGGTACGTGACGTCGTTTTAAGAGATCTGGAGAAATCATTGTAATTAATAAATACAATAGATTTGGTTGTCTTTCGAAAAGTTCTGGAACTGATGCCTTCATTACCTTTTCAAAGATTTCGGAACCACTGCCAGGTACGCCATACCAAGTTTTATATGTACCTTTATGAAGATAATTAATTGAATAGAGATAATTATCTTCATTATGCCAACAGAATGATGAAAAAAGCATTCCAATATACATCATTGGATCAGTAACACCAGCAATCGTTTCGGTCATATGTGAAAACAATGATTCCTTCATTTTTGGTAGCTGATTGAGGTTCCAATGTTCGTCTGGGCCGTTGGTAGTTGAAGTTCTTGAGAAACCACTGCCATGTGTTGTTACATCCAAATCACTTCCATAATGCACTTGCACATTTTCATCACCTTTTTCAACAATACGCCAAAATTCATTTTCAACTGTATTTGGATCATTATTGTTGAGTGGAAACCATTTCTTACTAAAATTATTTGCCAAAACTTCAAACTCTTCTAATGAATAAACATTGCCTTCATAAAAACCAAATTCAGGTATTTCACTACTTTCGCTGCTGGTATCTGATTCGTTATCATCATTATTTATCTCTTCTCTTGATACCCTTAATTTTTTATTTTTTTCTTCTTTGAATTCTTCCTCTTCTTCCTTTATTTCTTCAATCTCCTCCTCATCTTCTTCTGCAGCCTCCTCATCATCTTCTTCTTCTTCCTCGCTATCATCATCCTCGTCTTTTAATAAACCATCCTTTTCAATGTCACTATAAAATTTACTATATTGATTATATTCTTCGATTATGTCATTGATAAATTCATTATCATCTATTTGAACCTTAGATTTAATATTTCGCTTTTCCATAAACTTATTTCTTGTGTAAACTTCGAAATCATCTAAATAACGATGGTATAGATTCTTTAAAGTTTGAATTGGTTTGTTGCAAAAATCGGTAACCTTTAAAGCTTTGATGACATCTGGCCATTTATTGGTATGAGTGCATTCATTACAACCACCATAACGATTAACCTCCAAGAATAATGAATAGAAATCTAAATCTCTTCCATCATATTTTGGTATTGATTGAATTGGATTGGATTGTTTGTCTAAAAACTCTCCAAGATCTGATACAAACAATTCATTTGGGCCATTCCATCTTCTCTTGAGTTGATGAATATTTTGAATTTTAGTTTTAAAATTAAATTTCTTTGGATCTATATTTGACATGATTGAATCGGCTTCAAATGGTGGCACAATTTTACAAATACCAAATTTCTCTGCTATTGGTCTAATACTTTCAATATATTTTAATGGTGACTTAAATTCTTCAATTGAAGGATAGAATACTGGTGCCTCTGGTATCTTCCAATCTATAGTAGTGTTTTTTGACCAGTCCTAAAATTATAAATTTAAATAATTAGTATTTTATTACAAGCAAATAGAATAAATTGAAAACTATAAAATAATTACTTTTGATTTCGATGCATTTGTGGTATTTGAATGTTTTCTCTTTTTAGGACTAACTGATGAAGCTGCTCCATTTATTTCTTTTTTGGGTGATTTGGTTGGCGTTATTGTTTTCGATGGTGATTTTAATGGTGATTTAGTTGGAGTTGTTGATTTGGTTGGGGATTTAGTTGGGGTTGTATTTTTGGTTGGTGATTTTGATAAAGGTGAACCTATTTTTGATTTTCTAACAACAACTTTTTTAGTTTTTAATTCTTTTGCTGCTGACATTTTACCTGTTTTCTTTTCTTTTTTTGGTGTACTTATTTTATAGTCTGTATTAAAATCACTATCTTCTTGGAGGAATAATGGTTGGGGTATATTACCTGTCATTGTTCTAGTTTTAATTGAAGTTGGTGATTTTGATAGTTTTACTGGTGATTGTTTAGTTGGAGTTAAATTTGTTTTTTTTGCTGTTACTGGTGGTGGGGATAATGATGATCTTCTAGTTAAAGGTGGTGTAGCTGCTGAATTTCCATTTTGTTTATTAGGGTTGTTGCTGCTATTGCTGTTAAATTCTTCATTATCTTTGTTTCCATTTAAAAGAGAGCTTGTTGTGGTGGCTGTCATGATTGGTTTGGTGTAAAGTGAGGAACAAATATTAATATGTGATTTGAATGATGCTAATGGTAATTGAATACTACAATTTGAGCAGTTTACTAAATCTCTTTTTTTTCTAGAACTTAAAGATTCACTTTTTTCCTTTCCCAAATCTCTTGTAATTGATATTGTATCATTATTTATCATTTTTTTTTTTTTTCTTTAAAAAAAAAAAAAACTATTATAACTGTATTATTGTTGATTTATTTACTATTATAAATTAAAAATATTACTTATATCTATCAAAATAAAAAATTATAATTAGTAAAAAGTTATTTAAAATTATTGTGTGTGAAAAGAAAATTAAAAAATAAAAAATAAAAATAAAAAATAAAAAATAAAAAATAAAATAAATAATTTTGGTTATTAGGTTGATATTAATAAATATTTAATTATTTGTTATTATTTTCTATATACTAAAATAAGGTGGTTTGGTTTGTGTGTTGTACTTTTTTTTTTTTTTTTGGTTTGTGTGTTAACTTTTTTTTTTTTTTTTGGTTTGTGTGTTAACTTTTTTTTTTTTTTGTGAGATTGAACCTTCTGTTATATTTTTTAAAAAAATAAATTAATTATAATTTATATAGGAATTTAAAAAAAACCTTTTTTTTTTTATATTAGATAAATGAAATAAACATATCAATAATATATCAAGAATGAAGTTTTTTTGGTATGTGGCAAAAAAAAAAAAAAAAAAAAAAAAAAAAAAAAAAAAAAAAAATTTTAAAAAAAAAAATAAATAAAAAATAAATTTTAAAAAAATAAATATAAAAAAAAATTTATACACAAAGGGTGTGTTTGTTTTTGAATAACTATTCAAATAAAGTGAATAAATTTTTTTTTTAAAACATACCTGTTATATGCTATATACAATATATTAAGTGTGGTGTATGTGTGTGTTTCTGTGTGTATATATATAAATTTATATTATTATTATTATTAAGTTATATTATTATTGCTATAATTGATTTATAGAAATATAGTTTTTGAAATATTTGTAAAGATATTATCTAATTGTTTCAAAATAAGATGATTCTGATGATTTGAATTTTGGGTATTGAGTAAAATTTTCAATAGATCTAAAATAAATTAATGTGAAAAAAAAATTTTAAATTTTTTGAGTTAGATTTTTTATAATGACACAACTTTTTTTTTTTTTTTTTTTGAAAAAAATATTTATATCCTCTTGTCAATTAATTTGATAAAATTTAAAAATAAATAAAAAGTTATTTTTATTTTTTTATAGCAAATATTACACTTACATTTTTTTTCCGTATACTTTAATCTGTCTTATATGAGTATCTCTACCATTTTTCAAATTTGATAAAATTGAAATCTGTAATAAGTTGGCTTTAAGTGGACCTCTATACAAAATATTATAATATTGAATAAATATAAATAATAGATGGTATAAGAATAATGTAATTAGAGTGGTTGTTTGTTTTTATAAAAATACTATAGTTTTTTATAAAAAAAAAAAAAAAATTAAAAAAAAAAAAAAAAAAAAAATAGTATGGGGAGAATATTTATTTAAATTATTTATTTTTTTTTTTTTTTTTTCCAAAAATCATCTCTATCATTATGGTTAAATGTTTTTATGTCATATGAAAAATTTTTGAATTTTTTTTTTTAAAAAATTTTATTGAAGTTTACGAAAATCTGGTGTGGTTAATTATAAAAAAATACACAGGATTTAAAAAAAAGCCCATTATTTTTGTTATTTTTATAATTTATTATTTATTATTATATTATTTATTGTTATTATTATTATTATTATTATTATTGTTTTTATTTAATAAAACCATACTTATTTAAAAAAATAATATTTCTTTTTTTAAATAAAAGTGTTCACAATATAAAAAAAAAAAAAAAATAAATAAAACTTACCCGTTACTTAAACACAAAGGAATATTAATCCAACCTATTGGCTCTTCAAGTTCAGTTGTAATTATTTCTTGTAAATCGTGTAGTAATGTCCCTGCCTTTATTGAAATTTTTTGTGGTGTATAACTTTCATCCAATTTATAATTACAATACAATAGGATATTTTCTATAAAACATTTTTTAGGGAATTGAATTGTTATATTATGTGGTTGTTGTGCATCTGATCTAGGGTTTATTTATAAATTATATACTATTAATACTTTTATAAACTATAAGGGTTGTTTATTTGTGTTATTTAAAAGTTTACTTACTGCCAATAAGTTTCTGCATTGTTATCACGTAGTTGTTCAACACCTGAACCTGGTTTCGCAGATGATACAGACCATGATGCTAATTTACCAATCTCTACTTTATTGTTATCACTATCGTCAAATTTAGGTTCGTCCAATCTACTATTATTTGTTTCTATATTTGAATTTTTTATCATTTTATATAGGGATGTAGAAATATAGAAGTATAGAAATATAGAAATATAAAAAATACACACAAAATGTAATTTGTTATTTGTAAAAAAAAAAAATTTAAAAGAAAAATAAAATAAAAAATTTAATATTTTGAAAATTTTTTTTTTAAAAAAAAAAAATTGAAATTGAGAAACACGCGCGAAGGGGTAAATTTTATTTATAATAATGTTTACTAATTTGTGGTTGTTTTATCTGTGATTGGGTAGTGTTGATAGTCCATCGTTTTTATTTTGTTTTAATGGTTCTATAGGTATTATGTCAGTTGTTTTTTCAGATGGTAATGGAATACGGTCTAATGTAAAATTACCCAATTTACCTTCACGATATTGAGATATAAAAAATACAGAGGCCATTTCCAAATCTGGTTTATTATTACTTGAATATATTTTAAATCTTTTTGCAATCATGTTTAAAAATTGATCAATATCATCGGTTGGTAAAATTTCTTGATTATTATTATTATTGTTATTGTCGGCGTCTGTATTTTGGTTTCCTTCCCCATTCTCTTTAAATAAATTTAAATATTTAAAATTTGAAGATGAGTTTAATTTGAATAGTAAAAAATCAGCTAGTGTGGTTTGTGATACAATTCTTTCGCTGATACAGTTTAGTAATGCTAGAGTTAATGTAGTTTCGTCATAATCTAAATTACCGGGTATCATGATACCTGGAGAGTCCACTATGAATATTGAGGGATCGTCGCAACATTTAAAACCAGTTAATTCTTTAGTTACACCCGGTAATGGCCCAGTTTTGGCACTTTTCGACATATTAGATGCTGATCTAATAGAGTTTATAAATGAACTTTTACCGACATTTGGCAGACCTACAATCAACATTTTTGTAGTTTTTTTTGAATTTGGTATATTTTTATTACTTGTTTGCTGCTGTTGTTGTTGCTGTTGTGGTTGATTAAATTTTTTATTATGAAATTCAACAGCTTTTTTTATAATTTTCAATGGATGGTTTTGGTGATTGTTGGGTAACGATATTTTATTATTGTTTGTCGAAACTGTTTGTGAAAATAATGCATATTGGTCTTTTGATTTAAAGTGATCTAAAATACTCTTTTGTAGATTACTATTGGCTAAATCTGATTTATTAAATATAATGACTTTGGTTTTTTTGGGGTAGTTGGTTAATAATTCTGATAAAATAGGATTGGCTGTTGAAATAGGTGCCTATTATTATTAACTAATATTAGATAAATATATATATATGGTTAGTTTTCATATTTTATATACATACCCTTGAGTCTCTTAATTCTATTACTACGTCAATTTGCTTAATGGTTTCGGATATAAGTTTCCTAGTTTTGATCATATGCGGTGGAAACCAATTTACTTTGCCATGGTAGTCAAACTCCTTTCTGAAGGTATTTTTAATATTGTTTAATAGGCTTGCATTGATTTTGCTCATTACTATTAAATATAGAATATATATATAGCGTCTATTTAAAAATGCAAAAAAAAAAGAATAAAAATATATTTTATACCTTTTTTTAAAAAAAAAAAATAAAATAAAAAATAAAAAATTTAAATTTTTTTTTATTTTTTAAATTTTTTTATTAAATTTTTTTTATCATTTTACATTTATTTATTTATAATACACACATTTCCCAATTCATAGATATTTTTATATTTAGTAGCTTTTATTCTTTTTTTTCTTTTTTTTCTTTTATTTTTTTTTTTTTTTGTTATATAACAATTTTCAATATTAAATAGTTTGTTTCTTTATTTCCCCCTACCAATACCCTATTTAATAATATATAAAAGTTTATAGTTGGAACTGTAGTCGCAAATAGAACAAAAGATAATTCAAAAATGGATATAAACAAAGCACCATCAAGAGTTATATTTGTTAAAGATATACCACAGAATATTTCACATCATATATTTGAAGATTTATTTAGAGTTTTACCAGGTTATTTAACAATGAGAAGAGTATAAAATAGTTATTTAATAATTTTCTAATCATTAATAATCATTAATAATAATACCCGACACAAACATACCTGTTTCACTACAATTTTATTAAAAGAATAATAGTAATATATTGTTAACTTATAATAATATTAATAAATAATAGAAACCACACTTTGCTTTTATAGAGTTCAAAGATAGAGAGTTTGCAACAATGGCAATGGTCAAATATCAAGGTTATAGATTTACATCTGCTGATAAACCAATTATAATAGATTTCGATAAAGTAAGCATTACCTTTTCTATAGTAAAATAAATTTTGGGTTATTAATATAAGGTTTAATTTCATTGTTGCAGGATCGAAATTCAAAAGAAATTAATGATGATAGAAGAGACTTTAGAGATAATAATAGAAGATATAATAACTTTCATCGTGGTGATAGGGATTATAGGGAAAATAGGGAAAATAGAGATAATAGTATTAGGGATAGTAGAGATACCAGGGATAATAGAGATAATAGAGATAATAGAGAAAATAGAGATAACAGAGAAAACAGAGAAAATAGAGATAGAGATAGTTATAGAAATAGAGATAGTAAAGTTATAAATAGCGACGATGAAAGATTTGATAGTAGTTCTGATAAAAAGAAATATAATGACAGCGAAAAAGACCATAATGACGATGATAACAAAAGTAGAAATGAAGATGAAAAATCTTCCTCTTCCTCCTCCTCGTCCTCCTCCTCATCAGATAAGAATAGAGCAAGTTTGTCGAATGTATCATCATCAAGATCTCCATCATCATTAAAAAGATATCGACATGATGATTATAATAGATCACCACCATTATCTCCACCTTCATACGATAGATATAGTGATGTATGTATTCAATATATAAATTGGTTTACTTTAATATTTTAATAATTAACTTTTTATTTCTTTATTTTAGAGACACTATCATACAACTTCAACTTATTATCATAGTCATCCCCATTCAGCACCACACCACCACCATAGCGTTGGATATCAATCGCATTTAAATACACCATCAACTAGCTCACCAATATTATTAACCCCACATCTTCCTTCTCCACATCATACACATTTTTCACACCATACCAACAGCGGCGGCCATATTAATTCTCCACCATGTCCAACCTTATTTGTTTCAAATTTACCAAAAGATGTCACAGAAAGAGAGGTATCAATTTTATTTAGATTTATGGCTGGTTTTGTTGGTATTCGTTTAATTAATAAGGAAGGTAAACTGCCAATGTGTTTTTGTGATTTTGTTGATTCTCAATCCGCTGCCATGGCTTTAGATTTTTTACAAGGTTTTAGAATGGATCCAAAAGATATTTCCTCTTCAATTTCAATCGAATTTGATAGAGCAAATAATAAAAGATAAATTAGAAAAATAAAATTATACTAAAAAAAAAAAAATTTATTTATTTATTTATTTATGGTTGTATGTTTATTTTATACAATTATTTATTTAATTATCTTTTTTTAAATCCAAATATTTCTTTATATAATTATTTACAATTTCGGGATTTGATCTACCTTTGGTTTCCTTCATAATTTGACCAACAAAGAATTTGAAAAGTCTAATTTTACCTTCATGATAATCTTTGACTTCGTTTGGATGGGCATCAACTAGTTTACGACAAAGTTCTTCCAACAATTGATGATCAGAGATTTGAGATACACCTAAATGATCTACAATTTCTTTTGGAGATCTTTTATCACCGTTTAAGATCATTTCGAGAATTTCTTTAGCAGGGTTCATTGAAACATAACCACTTTCGACCAAATCATAGATTTGAGTTAATGTTTCAACATTGATGTTGATGGTTGAGAAATCTGTTACATTATTTGAATTGGACCATTTATAGATATCACGAAGAATCCAGGTTAAAAGTTTCTTTGGATCTCTTTTAGTTCCACCAAAGCTAATGCATTGTTCAAAGAATTTGGCTGCTTTGTGGTCATTTACCAAGATATTTGCGTCGTATAGGGAGATATCGTATTGTTTGATTAAACGATCTCTCATTTCTTGTGGTAATTCACCAATTTGATTCTTGAGACGTTCAATTGTTTCCTCAGAGGTTATAAGAGGTGGTAAATCTGGATCTGGGAAAAATCTATAGTCTACTTCATCTTCTTTGGTACGAAGATGGAAAGTTTCACCGCTATCTTGGTTAAAGCCACGAGTTTCTCTTTTAATTATATCACCATTTTCCAAAATTTCGATTTGACGAGCAGCTTCGGCGTCAATACTTGATACTATGGCTTTGGCAGAGATCATATTTTTGATTTCAACACGGGTGCCTAATGGTGTGTCTGGTTTGTGAACAGATATATTAACATCGCAACGAAGTTCGCCAAATTGCATGTTTGCATCACTAGAGCCAATGTGTTTTAAAAGATGTTGAAGTTGAGTAATATAAAGTCCTACTTGTTCAGAGGATGTGAAATCTGGTTGAGAAACGATTTCCATTAAACCAATGCCTGCTCTATTAAGATCTACAAGTGATTTGGTTGGATGTAAGTCGTGAATTGATTTGCCAGAATCTTGTTCTAATTGTATATGTGAAATATTAATTTTATGTTTTCTGTTATCTTTTAAATCCAATATCAATTGGCCCCCTTGCACTATTGGTGCATTTAGTTGAGTAATTTGATAACCTTGTGGTAAATCTTGATAAAAGTAATGTTTTCTATCGAAATAACTGTACTTGTTTATTTTACCACCTATTGCTAAACCTGTTTTAATTGCTTGCTCTACACACTTTTCATTTAACACTGGTAATGATCCAGGAAATGCTGCATCGACATAACTAACACGTGAGTTTGCTTTGAATCCTTCCATACTACCAATGTTCAAACTGTTTGAAAATAATTTCTCTTTTGTTTTAGTTTGAGCATGCACTTCAATACCAACTATAAGTTCCCAAAGGTCACCTGTTTTATTACTTTTTAAATAATCATTATTATTTTTAACTATATATTTTATATTGTTTTTATTGCCATTGCTATTATTAGAATTACTAGTATCATTTAGTTTTACTGATGTTTGCAAACTATAATATCTTTGAAAACTATTAAATTTATTTAATTTATTAAGGTTATTTATTATCATTTTTTATTTTATTATAAAATTTGAAACATTAAATATTATCTTTCATATGAATCATTCCAAATTTTAAATTAAAATAAAAAAAAAATAAAAATTTAAAAAACTTTAAAAAAAAAAAAAAAAAAAAAATTGTTTTTTAAATTTTTTTTTTTTTTTTTATTTTAAAATTTATTAATTTGTAATTAAAATGAGCGAAAATAGAGATATAGATAATAAAGATACAGATAATAAAGAGACAACCACAACGTCAACCCCACCAACATCAACACCACCCACTTTAAATTTAAAATTTAAAAAAAAAGATAAAGTTAGAAATTTAAGAAAGAAAGATGAAACAAACAGCAATCTAGAAGTTGAAGGAGAGGAAGATGAAGAAAATATATTAGAATTAACAAAAGAAAAACAAAAGCTAAGGGAAAAGGGCAAAGGATTAAATGTTGGTATCTTGGCAGAGGGACCACATATCAAACAAAATTTTAGAGAATTAGAAAATAAACTAGATGACTCTTTTACAGCTCACAATGAAGACAAACAAGAGGTAAACCTTCATTTAGAAAAATATATAAATGAACAATTGGAATTAAAAAAACAAAAACAAAAACAAAGTAAAACAGATAATAATGATAATAACAATAATGAAAATAATAGTAATACCGAATTAAAAGAATCATCATTATTTGAAACACCAGAACATTTAAAAAGAAATGAAAAAAAACAGAATGAAGATAAAACCAATTGGGTTGCAGGTATAGCCGAGGTACAATTACCAGAAGTTTTTAAATATAAGAATATGGTTGAAACTGAAAAAGCAAGGGATGCAATGGAAAAAGACTCTGATAAGCATACTGAAAAGTTAAACACTCCTCAAAATTTCAATCAAAACTACCAATATCATAATAGATGTAAGTAACAATACTATAATAATGAATAGTTTTATTTAGATAATAGATTTTAATTTCTTTTTATTTTATTTTTTTTAATTTCAAATTTAGTTATAAATAATAAAAAAAGATCAGATGACAAAGCAACTGACCAAGAGGCAGTAGAGAATTTCAAGAAAAGATTTAGATATTAAATTAATACCCAAATATATTATTTATTTCAAAAAAAAAAATTTCTTTTTTTTTTTTTTTTTTTGTTTTTCTATTTTTTAATTCTTTTTTTGAATTTTTATAAATTATAAAACATAGTAATAATAAAATCCTTTTTATTTTTTCTTAATAAGGAATATTTTTCATATACCACACATTATTCGATTTTTTTATTTTTTATTTTTTATTTTTTTTTCCTTTTTCGTTTTTACTTTTTAATTATTATTTTTTTTTTTAATTTTTTTTTTAATTTTATTAACATTAACTAAAGTAATAAAATTCTTTCTTTTTCAAAGGACATAAAATATTTTTTTTTTTTTTTTTTTATTTATTTTTTTTTATATAAATTTAAAAAAAAAAAATAGATATATTAAAAATGGAATTAAACATAAAAGAAAAAATTCAAAAAGATACTTTGGTTTCAAATAAAAATAAAAAAAAAAAAATGAATAGTAATAAAAATGAAAAAATAAATAAATTAAAAAATGGTCAAGAAGGGGATGAAATGTCAAAAAATAAGGAACAAAAACCAGCAATCAACGATTTATTATTTAAATATTTTTTAAAATTAGATAAAGAAGCATCAAAAAGAGGTTTTACAGAATATGGTGGTTCCGACAATGAAAAAGAATCAGAAAATAAATATATTTTGGGTAGTCCAGTTTTAAACAAAAAAAATAAAAAAATCCAAAAACAAGAAATTTATTAAATATAAAAAAAATAAATAAAATGATATAAATTTTCCATATCTTTTTTTAAACAATTATTATATTTTTGTGTTTATTTTTAGAAAAAAAAAAAAAAAAACATAAAATGTTTGATTAGACTTTTATTTTTTTATTTTTAATTTTATTTATATATATCAATGAAATTAATTTATTTTGTTTGATTTGACCAAACGACTCTAGCTTGTAAAATTGAAGCCAATTCTTTACAAAACTCTTCAAGTATAATTACAGCGTTGAAAAAGTTTAATTCGGAGGGTTTTAATGAGGAAAGTACTGGGTCATCTGGGAAGTTATTTTCTTCATTTGAACTAATTCTATTAGTATCTGTCATATAAAGTCTTAACTTGTCTAAAATTTCGTTAAAAAATTGATATGATTTTGATCTTTCTTCAATTTCTTTTGATAACTATTATTATAAAAAAAAAATTAATAAATTATTATATTTTTTTCTTTTTTTATAAAAGACTTACATTTAATAAAACATTATAAATCGATGTTGGGTTATTGTTATTGTTATTATTATCATTATTATTATTATTGTTTTTGTTATTGTTGTTATTATTTTTATTGTTTTTATTTTCTTTGTTTTCGTTGATTTCTATATTATTATCCTCTGTAAAATCTTCATTTTCTTCTTCGTCATCTTTTAATGTGTCGAATGGATATGATGTAAGAGGGGATGAAGGTTGTGAGAGAACTTTTGGACTATTATTATTAACTATATTATTTTTTACATTATTATTATTGTCATTATTATCATCGCTGGTGTTATTACTATCACTAGAATGCATTAAATATGGGAAAAGCTGTGGACATGGGTAATAACATAACTTTGAAAAAATACCAGTAATAACAAAATTAATTTCGATTGGTAAAGATAAACAATTTCGGAATAGTTTGAAAAGTTCCTCTAAAAATAAACCATAATATTCAGTTGAATTATTATTATTACTATTATTTAAATTATTATTATTAAAACTTATATTATTATTTGAAATATTTGATGATATATTATTTTTACTATTATTTAAACTATTATTATTATTATTATTATTATTATTATTATTATTATTATTATTATTATTATTATTATTGTTATTTTGTTGTTGTGGTTGGTTAAATGATTGTCTTGATGGGAATAAATATTCTTTTGGCCAATTTGAACAAGCTTCAGAATATAAGGTGATTTGATAACGTGCATCCACTAAATAAGCACTATAACCATTTGTTTGAGAATTAATTTTATTTTGAAGTAAATCACTGATATTTCCATTTGACTGATCTGATAATTGGGCTAAATTTGAATATTTGTTTCCAAATAAATTTAAATAGTTTGTAATTGATCTTTGAGCAACTAATAAATTATTTAAACCATGATAACCAAAAGATGATTGTTGGTGATATCTCTTTAAGTGAACTAAAATTAAATCGTATAGTGTAAAAAAGTCACGCAATCCGACCATTGTTGAAAACAATCTAAGTGCACTAATTGAAACTATAAAGTTTTTACTTGAAATTCTTTTGATAAGAGTTTTCTTAAAAAAGTAATCCTCATCGTCAACACTGGTAAAACTATTTCCTGAATTCTTTAGTGACTCTGCATTATGAAGTGGGTTGGTGCCACCTAAAAAGAAAGAAATGGTTTTTTCTAAAAGTTCACCATCTAATAATGGTAATACCTCTTTGAGGTATAGCATTGCTGTAGCAGATTTACCCTCATCAAGACCCAAAAGGTTTGGTCCTAAAGTATCTGCTAAAAATAATTCCTCCCATAGTGTTATAATATATTCACCAATGTTCTAAAATTTAAAATTAAAAGTTAATATCTATAGATGATTGTAATACAATAATGATGTATAATTACATTTTTTTTAATATATGACAATGCACAACAAAATGAAACTCTTGATTTAAAGTGTTCTAATATATTTAAATTTTCTGATGAGATTGGTGGTCCAGAAATATAATAATGAGATGATTTAATTTTTATAGGTAATAAATCAAAAGTTTTAATAAGTTCTGTCATCTATAATTATAAAAATGAATTATTAATATTAAATCTATTTATAGCGAGTATAATATTATACATTATAACTAATCCTTACCATTGTGTTCATAAATTTAAGGTGATTTAATAATGATAATGGATCTGGGTGTACAAATTCTAATTTCTCTTCTTTTGGTGATGTTGCTGTATTTAAATTTACTAAGGGTGATATACCATTGTTTTGTGCTGATGGTGAAGTTAAAGATTGAGATTTTTTTAAATCACTAGTTGTATTTGATGCTATTAGTTCAATAGATGGAGTTGTTTGAACTTCTGAAATTAACTCTAAACATTGAATCATTGATTTTCTAGCTCTTTCACCAATAGAGCCATGGGTCCATAAGTGTCCTAATAAACCCTGAAATACAATAAAGTTTTCACCTTGGTTAAATGAGTTGTCTTGAAAAAAACCAATTAAATTTGGATATTTAATTAAAATTGATGTTAATGTTTCTAAAAGATTTACAAATTCACTATCATCATTTGATTGTAATGGTAGACGGTTAATGGGTAATAATTTTCTGTCATCTTCGATTTGCTGTGATGTTACAATAGTTGCTGATGTTGGTGATATGTTATTACTACCATTATTCGCTATATTAATAGAAGAGGATGAACCATTCAATGCTTGTTGTTGCTGTAATAGTTGCTGTTGTTGTAATAACTGTTGTTGCTGTTGCTGTTTGATCATCTTTTTTATTAAACCACAAATTGGCTTGTGTACACTCATGTATGGTAATAATGGTTGCGATAAATCACCTAATAATGTTGTTATTGTTTGTAAAACTAATTTTCTAACACCTTGTGGTTTCTTTATAAAAGATTTAAAATTATTAATATTATTTTATAAACTATGGTGTGTATTAAAATATTATACTTACATCATGTTCCCCCAACAGACATAAAGTTTCGAATATTTTATTTTTTAAAAAGAACTCTATACATGGTCCAGCATCACCCATTTTTTTATTTTCATCTACTAATTTAGAACCCATACCAATTAAATGACCTGGTAATTGATATTCGTGAAAACTTTCGATATCATCTAAAAAAATTTTAAAATAATGAATTAGTATTTCTTCTATAACTGAAAATAAAGTTTATAACGATTGTAAATAGTTACCCCTTTTATCATTATAAAAAGATACAATTGCTCTCCAATGTGCCTTCAAATCATCAAGATCTGACTGAGCAGGTTGGGGTGCTAATACCTCTCCAATAGATGAAAATATTTTATACATCTTGATATACCTTTGCTATTGTGTTGTTCTTGCAATTGTTTTATTTATTTTATATATATAAATAAAAATAAAATGAACTTATTTTTTCTTTTTTTTTTTTTTGTAAACGAAACAAATCTTTGATTTTGTTATTAAAAAAACAAAAAAAAAAAAAAAAAAGAAATCAAAGATTTTATATTATTTTGTTTTTATTGAGTTCTATACAAAAAACAGAATGAAATAAAAAAATGAAAAATAAAAGTAAAATGAAAAGAAATATTTAGCAATAAAAATTAAATTAAAAGTAAAAAAAGAAATAAATTATAAATTAAAACACATTCAAAAAAAAAAAAAAAAAAATTTAAAAAAATTAAAAAAAAATTAAAAAAAATTAAAAAAAAATTTAAAAAAAAATTTAAAAATAAAAACAAATATTATTTTGATATGAAAAAAAATATTTATATGTTTGTATTTATATGTATATATTAAAAATTAAAATGGATTTTAGAAAATAATACCTCCAGATATATACATTTCATTTAGAATAATAATAGAAAGAAGCAATTAAAATGGTTTATATATAGAAAATCCAACACTGGGTCTCGCTGCTACTTGGCCCTGGGGGTGTTTTTTATGGCATCCCCAACAAGGTTATTCTTTAAGTAAATTATTTTTATTTTATATGTTATTTTTACAATAAAACTAATATTTTTTTTTATTGTTCCAGTTTGAAAAATGTAAACAAGATAAATAATAAATAAATTTAATTTTTTTGATCAATAAAAGAATGTGATAAATTATCTTGTTGTATTATATTATTTGATATTTTTTTGTTAAATTTTTATTTTATTATATTTTTTTATTGTTGTTTATATTTTTAAATTTTTAAATTTTAATTTTTAGTTTTTTTTTTTGGATATTGTTATTTTTTTTTTTTTATTAATGGAGATTACCCATATTTAAGTTTCTACTTAAAGATTGATTAATAGCAGCACTAATATTACTTAATGGGGCGGAAAGTTGTGGAGTATTGATGGATGGATTTAAATTTGGATTGAATGCATTGGCTTGACTTGGATCGCCTAATAAAAATAATAATTGAGATAACCATCTTTTAGTTGTAAAATCTTTTTCGTCTTTTAAGTGGGAATTAAATATACCACTTTTTAATGCTTCTGGTAAATATTGTCTTAATGCTTCTTTTGATCTATTGGTGATAAAAACAAAAAAAAAAATAATTAGAATTTTTTATTATATTTGAGAGATGCTGATAACAATATTTATACATACTTTGGATGATCAGCTAATCTTAAATAACATCTAATAACATGTTTTAATAATCTTGGGGCTGGAATTTCTACCAATTGATTAATCATACCACCTAATACTGAAATAAATGCCAAAATTCTTTCGTTTGATGAACAAATATAATTTAAACCCATGTCATCTAATAATATTTTTTGAACAATAAAAGTTGCAACAGTTTTTGATAATTCCGAACCAGTTTCCATAATTCTAACACATAATGTCATAATTTCAGTTGATAATAAAAAGTCAATAATAGTTGAATCGTCCACCTATTTTTTAAAAAAAAAAAAATTATTAATATGATGAAAAAATATTCTAAATATAAAATGGATAAAAATTCTTACTTTAACCAATGCACCAATAACACCTAAACTTGTTAATCTTAAATATTCAAAAGGTCTATTTTTGCTTGATGTATTTAAAAATGGATATAAAAATAATGGAATGTGTGCTAAAGATGGATAAATAAATTAGAATTAATAATAATATTCAATAACATAGTATTGTTAATTACTACTTACAATGTAAAAAATATGTTCTAGTATCTGGATGTGAAGCTACACATTGAAGTAGGGCTAATGCATTGCAAACACGATTTGATGGTAATGCTTTTAATTTTGGTGGTGATAATAATGGATAAATTGAAACGATTTCTTGTAAAAGTGCAGCAATAGTTCCAAATGAATTTAATAAAATTGGTGCTAAATCTGGTATACTTTCTCTCTTTTTACTTAAATCTACAAGTGCGTTTTCCCTTTTTTCTGGGATAGTTAAATCTTTTACTAATTGATAAACATGTTGTAAAGTTTCTTTATCTAATGGTGGTATTGGTTGTTGCTGGTTTTGATCTAATGAATAAAATTATAAATTTAGTTTATAAATAAAAATAAGATTTGAAATTTTTAAATAAAAATAAAAATAAAAATAAAAAAACTATTTTTAGTACATCGTTTTATAAAATTAAAATTTCGGAAAATTTGAAAATACATACTATAATCACCTGTATCATTAAAATTTGATATTTGATTTATTGGTGAATTTGCTGCTTGATGGGGCGATGTTGATGATACACTTGACATTTAATACCTATAGGGTTACTTTATACTATGTTGTTTATTATTATTATTATTATTAATCGACTCTTTATTTTATTCGCTTTTCTTCTTTCTTTGATATTTTGTATGTATTTTAAATATATATACTTTGAGAGTGTATTTTGTATATATATTATATATTGATGTGTGTGCTGTATTCTAATTTAAATATTTCTACAATTATTAGATATATATTAAAACTATGATAATTTATATATATTCTATTTTAATTTTTGTTATGATTGAATTTTTTTACAAATGTACAAGAAAGGAAATAAATATTATATATTATTATTATTATTACTATATAATTTTAAAAAAAAAAAGAACAAGAAATATATATAGGATTTATTTTTTATTATTATAAATAATGTTTTAAAATATTTTATATTGGCTATAAAATTATATATATATTTTGAATACCAAATAAAGAAAAATTCTTTCTGTTTTTATTTTAGTTTGTTGTGATGGTGATTTATATTATGAAATTATTTTTTATATTTTTAAAAAAAATGAAAAAAAATTTTAAAATTTTTTAATTTTTTTTTTTTATATTTTAATTTTTTTTTTTTTTTTTTTTTTTTTTTTTGAATTTAAAAAGATTCATGGGTGATCTTACAAAAATCCCTTTTTTTTTTTCCTTGATCTTTTTTTTAATGGTGATATATTTTCTAATAATTGAAGTTTTAAATATTATGTGGTAATTTAATAACTGGGTATTTGGGAAGAATTGATGGATAATGAATGGTCTGGTATACAATCCTTGGTTTTGCATAATAATAAATGGTACAAGAATTATGAAGTCAATAATAAAATTGATAACTTTAATTTTTTATTTGAAATGAATTATACTGGAATTTTTTTTTGGATAAAATATGTTTATAACAAAAATTTAAAAATAATATTGTATAAAATAAATGAAATAAAAAATAAATATAAATAAATAATAATTTAAATTAAAAATAAAAAAAACTCTTTTATTATTATTTGAAAATTATTTAATTGGCTACGATTCTTCTTCCTTGAATTTCAAGAACTAAGTCACCTAATTTTTCACCAAGTTCATTTGCTGATTGTGGATTTTGACCAGTTACAAGTCTTCCATCTACTTGAACATTGGATGCCCAGTCATGTTTAAGATGAACAAAGGCACCTCTTTCTTTCATACAGTCTTGGAGAGAGAATGGTACAACTTTTGAAAGACCAACAGATTCTTCTTCGCTATTTGTGAAACAAGCAACGTTTTTACCTTGTACAAGATAGGTACCACCTAATAATTTTATATTTAATAAACCAGCTGGACCGTGACAAACTGCAGAAACGACACCACCATGTTCATAAATACGAGCACCTAATTGAATAATTGGAACGTTTGATGGGAAATCCCAACATGCACCGTGACCACCGACATAATGAATACCTTCAAAAATATTGGCATCAACACCACTTGGGGTAAGAGTGTTCTTTAATTTCTTTTGTACTTCTGCATCTTCCCAAAATTCTCTGTTAATTGGATCGGTTAAATCATAAGAGGATGGATCTAATGGGCATGGACCACCTTTTGGTGAAACGAAATCAATGTCAATACCTCTTTCTTGAAGTTTTTTCCATGGATGTGCGGCTTCTGAAAGATAATAACCTGTTTTTCTATGGGTGCTACCTAATTCACTATGACTTGTTAAAACAAATAAAACTTTCATTTTTAATAAATAAATAACTAAAATTTTAAAAAATTAATATTAATATAGTAATAAAATTATTTAATAAAAAATTGTTATATATAATAAACATACATATGCGTGTATCTAATAAATTAATAAAATGGTTTTAAAAAAAAAAATTAATAATGTAGGATTGAAAAATTTAAATTATTATTATATTAACTTAAATAATTATATATTATTAATTTTATTTCCAGATATATTATATATTTTATGTATATGGGGTTAACTGTGAAAAAAATAAAAATAAAAATAAAAAAAAAATAAAAAAAAAAAAGTAAAAAAATTAATAAAATTGTTATTTGTGTGGTGGAGTGTGTTTCTACCCCTACACCTACTGTGGGAAATTTATTAGTTTTATTATGTAAAGAAGAAAAAATACCAAATCAATATTTTTTTTATTTTATTTTTTTTTAAATCGCAAAGTAATTTTTTACAAAAAAGGAATGTGTATATGTATATTAAAATTTAAATTATATATTTTTTTAAAAAAGATGTAAATTTGTTTTTAGATTGATTAATAGATTGATAAATTTGAATGCTGACTGGTTCCTTAATTTCATATTTCTTTTCCCAAGATTTTAATAATAATTCAAATGATTCATAAACTTGTTTATAGTCACTGAAAGAGTCAATACATATATATGGGAATCCATTTGATTTTAAATCTTTTATTTTGAATGGAAGCTCTGGTCCTGAAAAATTATATTTATTTCCTACTATTATAATTGGACAATCTATTTTATTGGTTCTTTTAATCATTCTTAAATACATTGGTATATTATTAAATGATTCTATATTATTATATGAAAACATAATTATAAATGCAGTGCATTTTGAAATAGTATCTTCATATACAAAATCAGAACCAACTATATAAAATAAAAAAAAAAAAATTAATAAGGTGGTTGGGGTTATATTAGATAAAGTGATGTAATACATACCAGTATCTATAAAATTGATTTTAAATATTTTTTTTTTATAGTTTTGACATAATGAATAATATGTATCAGTTATTGTGGGTTGTATTTTAGTGTTGCTTTTAAATTCTTTATTGCAAAGGGTTTTTGAATAGACGGTTTTGCCAACTTCTTTTTCTCCTAAAACACATATATTAATTAAATTGGTTTGCATTTTTTATTTTTAAAGTATATTAAAAATATATAAGGTTATAGGTTATTTTTATTTTTATTAAATTCCAAAGGTTTGATATATATATTATTTGTTTTAACTTTTTTGTTTTTTATGTTAATGATGACTTTTCAAAATTAAAGAAAATGTATTTAAATACTTTTAAATTAGGAATGAATGTGATAAAAAAATAATAAAAAAATTTAAAAAAAAATAATTTTAAATTAAATTATTTAAAATAAATTAAAAACTTTAAGTGAATTTATAAAATAGTACTCAATTAATAGTTCATATTTATATATATACCACCCACACCAGTGGTTAATGATAGTTTGTTGTGTGTTAATGGAGCCCACCCCCAGTAACACATGTGTGTTTTTTTTTATCACAATGTAAAAAAATATATACAATTTAAATAATGAAGATAAAATTTACATCGCTGTATGATTTAAGTTTGAAATCTGGGGAAATTCTTAATAGAATAAAAAAAAAAACATTTTTTCTTGGTTTTATAAAAATACGTGGCATTTATTACTTATAAAAGATTATTTTTTTAATTTGTATTTTTTAAATCTATAACTATTTATATTTTTTAATCACAATTATTTAGTTTGAATTTAAATTTATAAGTAAATTATTATTGTATATATGTGTGTGTGTATTTATATGTATTTATATGTTATTGACTCTATTTTATATTTAGTTTGGGAAATTTCACACACTTAAACTAATCACCCACACTTAAACTAATCACCCAATTTTAATTTTTTTAAGTTTAATTTTTTTTTACATATATTATAAAAACAAATTAAACTTAATAGCGGTGGGGGAGCTATTATTAAATTTTTATATTTATAATTTATTAAAATTTTAGGAGTGTGTGAATTACTTTTCCTTTGAACTTTAAAAAAATTTATTTAACTTAAGTTTGTGATACTATACAATTATTATCAAATTGAAAAAATAATAAAAAATAATAAAAAATAATAAAAAAATTAAATAAATTAAAATATTGAAACTTAAAGAATGTTAACGAAATTAATTTCAAACTTTTATTGAAAAAATTTCATAAAAAGAATCTATCTTTGTTTTTTTTTAATTAATTTAAAAAATTTTAAATAAAAATAAAATAAAAGTAGCAGCTCTTTAAATAATGAAATCTGGTAAAAATATCGATTGAACGCACAACTATAATTGGATAACGGATTTACTAATATAAGAAATTGTGTCAATTTGTTTAAGTTTTTTGGAAGCTGCCGAACAGGAATCACTAATTCTTTTCTTCATCTAAAACCATTCGATGATACCTTTGTTGCTTGGCCAGAACAATGTCTGATATTCATCAAATAGTTAATAAAATGAGAATTTTTTCATTCTAATCATCTTTAGTTATCTATATTATCACTAAGATATATAGTATTTGTCCAAGAACCAAAATCAAATAAAAGAGTAGAAAAAACATAATAACCAAAACACAATAAATAAAATTAGATAATACATAAAATAAAATAAATGATCATTTTTTTTAAAAAAGGGGTGTAGTTTATTTATTGTTTTGAATTTATTAGCTCCAATATTTCTTTGAAGGTTGGGGTTCTACTGTTACCGCCATAGCTTAGGCAGTTTAGACCCCCGGATGCAGATGCAAATTGTAATGATTTGTTTAAAGCTTGGTTTTTATAGATTAAAGAGTATATTAAACCAGCACGAAAAGCATCACCGGCACCAGTCGAATCTACAATTTTATCGGATGGTATTTGAACTGGGTCAAACCAGTATGGTTCTATATATGTAGATTCACCAGTTTTGTAGTTACGTAGGGTGCCACCAACACCAAAGCCGTTTTTAGAGTCGGTTAAAATTAATAAAAAGTATTTGTTGGCACCATTGTTGGATTGCAACCATTCCTTCATTGTAGTTAAAAATACTTGTTTATCGCCGTTTTTATTACCGAACCAATCAGAGCTACTTTGATAGACCAATGACATTTCTTTTAAATTTTCCAGCACTCCATCACTGCTATTGACCAACTCTTTGATTACAGAGTCTATTTCATGGTCCATGATGTATAGGTTAGTCTTAGTTTCAACAGCTTTCTTTATAATCTCTTTCGAAATGAATGGTGTGTTGTAGTCTAATGCAATCCAATGTTCGTTGCCAAACTGTAAACAGTCGTTAAATATTTTTGATTTAATATTATACATTAGTTGATCAGCTTCAACAAATCCAATTCCAAACATGGTTCTTTCTTTCTCTTTTAAACATACATAGATATCTGCACCTGGTGAATTCTTTAAGAATTCATTATCTTGATCCTTGTCGATTAAACATGTGTATGTTACATTATCTTTATATGGTTCTAAAAAACTTAATACAATTTCACCATTAGAATCTTTCTTTATTGGTTCTGCTATTAATTTAACTGATTCTTTATTTTCGTTATTCTCTATTAGCCATCTAATTAAACACATCTAAATTTATTATTATTAGTATTTATTATTATTATTGGTTTATATATAAAGGTTTGATACTTACAAATGTATTTGAAGCTTCCCCACCCAAAAACATTTTTTCGCTATTAACCGTTGTATAGCTTCCAATTAAATTTGGGAATTCATCAATGATCCTTACTTTATCATAACAAACAGTTCCGAATATTTGAATCATTTTAAAATTTTTATTTATTTGTGAATATATTAATTTTGAGAAATTATAAAAATTTAAAAAAAATCAAAAAAAAAAAAAATCTTTTTCATAGTTTTTTGTTTTTTAAAAAAAAAAATTAAAATAAACTTTTTACCTGAAAAAATAATAAAATAAACACGCTATGAGAAAAATACTAAAAAAAATATTTGCATTATTCAGAAAAATAACAATTTTTGTATTAATTTTGGAGTATATACAGAAAAAAATTATTATTTTATTTTTTTATTTTTTTATTTTTTTATTTATTTTTTTAAATTAATTTACAATCTGTTTCCATCAATGTCATAACTTGCATAACAGTCTTGGGCCCAATGTGATGTTCTTCCACAATTGAAACAGGAATTTTTTTCATTGTAATCGCTTCTATGTACTTCTCTATGGATATTATCTTTAATAACTACTAAATTACTTGGTCTATTATCAACTTTGTTTTTATTAATATGGTGAACATGTTCGTTTGGTTCAATGGGTCTTCCAATTTTTTTTTCGGCTACAGTACGGTGGGTGTATTCCTATTATTATTTTTATAATATGAAGAAATATAATTAAAATTGAATAATGAAATATTAATTAATGAATAACTATATTACCCATCCTCCATCATTTGCTTGGTATTGACGATATCCACTTTTGTTATATCTAATATTAAGATTATTGTTATTTGACATTTTATGCTTAAATTGATTTATTTAATATCAAATAAAATTTTTTAAAAAAATAAGAAATTAAAAATTTAAAAAAAAAAAAAAAAAAAAAAAAAAAAAAAAAATAATTATTTCAAAAAAAAAATTTATAAAAAGAATTTATCTTTATCTTTATTTTAAGGCAGCAGTTATTAAATTAACGAGATCTGGATTGCATAGAGAAAACTATCAATTGAGCGCACATAACGGATTTTACTAAGATCAGAGCTTGTGTCAATTGATTAAGTTTTTGGAAGCTGCCGGATAGGTACCATTAAATCATTTCTTCTAATGAACCATTAAATCTTTTCTTCTTCTAAAACCATTCGATGATACCATAGTTGCTTGGCCAGAACAATGTCTGATATTCATCAAATAGTTGGTTAGAATGAAAAAATTCTTTGGTATTGATTCAACTGAAGGTCTTTTACTTTGATTGGATCTTTACCTTCATGGATTTTGAATATTTGCGATAAATTCTTCTAGGTTTTTTTTTTTTTGATTCTAAATCTTTTTTTTTAATTTTATTTTATTAACTATTATAATCTAAATTATATCTACTAAGATATAAAGAGGTTGAGGTTGTGGTGTTTATTATGGAGGTTGATGTTGGAATCTGTTATTGAAATCTAAAAAAAATAGTTAGACACTGCATTACTACAGATATAAAATTTTAATGAATACTAGCTAATACCTACTTTTATTTTTAAAAATTTCATATTCCTCCAATAATTTTTTGGTCTTTTCGAAGTCGGTTTCGATTTTCCTTTCTTCAATTATTTTTTCAAGACCAATATTTAAATTCAATAATTTTTTTTCATTATTTTTTATAAATAATCCAAAAAATACTCTATCTAATTTAATTAATAAATAGAATCTAAAATGATAATATAAATGTTAATATCAATAATAAATATAAATAAAGTTATATATAAATTAAAAATGAAAAACTTACATAATTGAAATAAATAATGAATAATATAAACACATTGCCTTTTCAGACAAAGTGTCATTTGAGGCAAACTTTTCCCACAAAAAAGTTGCTAAAATTAATTCTATAATAAAAAAATAAAAAACATTTTTTTTATTATTATTATAGTGTTCACATTTTGAGCTGTGAATTTTGGTCTCAAATTTAGTAATTTTGGATTCCATAGCTCTGACTTTTTTTTCAAAAACGAGATCCTAAATACAAATAAAACAATAATTAGTATTTTTTTTTTATTATGTATGTTATATAAGAGATAATTACCTTTTTTGAAAAAAAATTACCCATTTTTTATTATTTTCTCTTTTTAAGGGTAATATAAAATATATAATTATTTAAAAAATATAATATTATGATTAAAAAAAACACTAAATAAATTTAAGCTTTATTATACAAATTACTTTGATTGTGAGTTTGAATTTAATGAAAAATAAATTCGAAAAAAGTTTTTATAGAGTTTTAAAATTTTTTTAGAAAATGAAAAAAAAAAAATTTAATTCATTTTAATTATAATTTCCTTTTGTTAATTTAATAGATTAGATCCAAACTCGGTATTTCCTTTTTTGTGCATTCTATTAAATTTTTAATCTGTAGCTATCATAAAAGTAGTGATCGTCTGTTTATTTTTTAAACACAATCACCAAATAAAAAAGTAATTTAATTAAAATGAAAAAAATTTAAAAAAAATTTAAAAAAAATTAAATTATAACCCCACCACACACTTTTTTTTAATATTATTATAAAAAGTGGCTAATGTGTTTGGGAAATGAATTAATAAATTTTTATTTTTTTTAATTTAATAAAAATGAATATTACCAATTTTAGAAGCCATTGCAATCTGAATTATTAAAAAAAAAAAAAAGATGATGCCAACTGTTTAATTTAAACAAAAAAAATTTTAATAGTATTTTTCATTTTTTTTTTATTAAAAAAAAAAAATTTATAATCATACGAAAAAAATTTTATTAAAAAAAAAAATTAAATATTATTAATTTGATTATTTATTTATTTAAAATAAATAAATAACTTTAAAGTCTTTGAGTTGAGAAATTTCTTTTTATTTTCAGTTTCATTTTCAGCATATATCTTCAGAAATATCAGTTTATAAAAATGATGGAAAAAATTGGTAATTAATATTAAAAATTTTAATTTTATCACAAAAATAAATTGAGTTAGCGCAAACCAAAAAAAAATCTTATTAAAGATCTCCCCCAAAAAAAAAATGACAAAGAAAAAACAGATAAAGAAAAAGCAGATAGGGAAAAAGAGGATTTTTAAAAAGAAAAAGAAAGAGAAATAGAAATAGAAAGAGAAAAAGAATAAGAAAAAGAAAAAGAAAAAGAAAGGGAAAAAGAAGAGCAAATAAATAAAGCTAATGAACAAAGCAAAAGAACAATTAATGGTAATAGATAAACCTTTATCGGTCGAAAAAAAGAGCAGAAAGAAATCATGAATCAGCAAAAGTAGTTACTGAAGCATCTGAGAAAGAAGCAATTATTGACCAACCAGAGGTAAAAACCCAACATGTTGTCGAAGAACCAAAATCAAATAAAAGAGTAGAAAAAACATAATAACCTAAACACAATAAATAAAATTAGATAATACATAAAATAAATGATCATTTTTTTTAAAAAAAAAAGGGTTTAGTTTATTTATTGTTTTGAATTTATTAGCTCCAATATTTCTTTGAAGGTTGGGGTTCCACTATTACCGCCATAGCTTAGGCAGTTTAGACCCCCTGATGCAAATTGTAATGAGTTGTTTAAAGCTTGGTTTTTATAGATTAAAGAGTATATTAAACCAGCACGAAAAGCATCACCGGCACCAGTCGAATCTACAATTTTATCGGATGGTATTTGAACTGGGTCAAACCAGTATGGTTCTATATATGTAGATTCACCAGTTTTGTAGTTACGTAGGGTGCCACCAACACCAAAGCCGTTTTTAGAGTCGGTTAAAATTAATAAAAAGTATTTGTTGGCACCAATGTTGGATTGCAACCATTCCTTCATTGTAGTTAAAAATACTTGTTTATCGCCGTTTTTATTACCGAACCAATCAGAGCTACTTTGATAGACCAATGACATTTCTTTTAAATTTTCCAGCACTCCATCACCGCTATTGACCAACTCTTTGATTACAGAGTCTATTTCATGGTCCATGATGTATAGGTTAGTCGATTAAACATGTGTATGTTACATTATCTTTATATGGTTCTAAAAAACTTAATATAATTTCACCATTAGAATCTTTCTTTATTGGTTCTGCTATTAATTTAACTGATTCTTTATTTTTGTTATTCTCTATTAACCATCTAATTAAACACATCTAAATTTATTATTATTAGTATTTATTATTATTATTGGTTTATATATTTGGGGATTAAAAATTAATTTTTAGTATAAATTACGAAATTAGTGTATTTTTTTAATTTAATTTCTTTTCATTTCATTTCATTTAATTTTTTTTTTTTTTTATAAATTTTAAAACAACCAATGTTAACCAATGGTAATATTTTTTTTAAAAATAGATATTTTATTTTATAAAATAATATTATTTTTTTTTTTTTTCCTTATTCCAATAGTTTCATAAAAGCAAGAAAATATCCATATTTTATTTTAAAAATAAAATTATTTTTGTTTATAATAATAATTTATAAAAAATATAATCTTAAAAAATTCATTTATAATTACACAAAATTATTTTTTCAGGTGTTTGTTTTCCTCATAATTTGTGTATTAGCTGATCTACAAGAAACATATAGTGATGGTTTATGTTTCAAATTGATGGTAAAAACTCAAAGAAATAAATGAACAAGTTTGTTGTAAAATAAATAAATGGTTTAATAAAATAAAAAATAAAAAAAAAATAAAAAAAAATAAAAAAATTTTTAAAAATTTTAAATTTTTTTTTTTTTAACACCAACTTTTCATTTTTACCAAATTTAAATTTTTTTTTTTAATTTTTTTTAAATTATATTTTTTCATTTATTTATTTTCATTTTTTTTTTTTTTGAACATATCCATTACCAATTAAAATAAGAATAGAGATAAATAAAAAAAAATTAAAAAAAAAAAAAAATTTAATTTTTACACCAACTTTTAATTTTTTCCTAAAGCTTAATAAGAATAGAGATAGTTTATTAAATAAAAAAAAACATTTAGATTCATCGAATATATATTAAAAATAGTTTTTTAAAAAATAATAAAAGAAATATTTAAAGTTTTTTTATATTAAAATTTATTTATTCAATTTTTATTTTCTATGTTCTGATAGTTTTTGTTTTAAATGGGATAGTAGTTGATTATATTCATTGTTGGTGTTATCGATGTCATCATTGATAAGATTATTTTGATAGAGTTGTTTTAGGAAGATAATATTATCTCTTTTTATAGCATCATCAATTATTGTTTTTGATGGTTTTAATAGAGTATTATTTGGATAGGTGTTGAGGAGGAATTGATATAGTTTGAATGGTATTTGGTATGGTTCGATGTTAAATGAGAATTTAAATTTGCTTTTATCGTCAAATATTAAATGGTGAAGAGCAAATACTGTATCTGGATGAAAATCCTTTTCATTAATAATAATTTCGTTTTTTGTTAAAGATTGGCCAATATTGGTGTTATTTTCGACATTATATATTAATAAATCGCAGATTCCTAAAGTTGAAAGAACGCAATATTCGCTGTATTCATTTAATACTGTGGATATTAAAGTTTGGTCACCAGTTTGAATAATGTTTGAAATTATAATAAAACCATTGCTTTTTTCATCATAGCCATTGTGTTTGAGTCTCAATTCTTCTAAGTATTTTAAAAATAAATCATATCTTTGAAAGAAGAACAAGGTTTTTATAGTTTGAATATAAATGTCAGTGATTGTTTTGAAAGGAGGTGATTCTTTTAAGATTGTGAATGAGTTGTTAAAAATATTTTGATGAAGCTTTTCTATAATATCGATACATGATGCACCATTATCACAACAAATACAACCATTATTACCAAATATATATTCAAATGAAAATACTTCTGGATCTATGAGGTCGTTTAAATTTAAAATTATATTACCCTTTTTTTTATTACGAGGTTCAAAGCTATTATTACTATCTTGAGTGTAAATAGTACCATCCCAGTTATGGGCCAAAAGGTCGCCAACTTTGCGAAAGATTGGTAAACCAAGTAAATATTTGATGAGTGTTAATGATTTATTTGCAAGATAGTAAATTGAAAATAATGTTGATTGTTGAACTGTAGTTACACCAGATTTGTTTATGAATTGATAAGTTGATTTGATCTTTTCAAGTGGTACTTCACCTTTACTTTGAATTAATATTTTGAATAATATGTTGATAACAATTTTAAGAGCTTCACCTTGATAAATATGGACTTTGGGTGTTGGAGTAAAAATATAATTTTCATAATCGATATTTGATATTGATCGTTGTCGTTTTCTATTTTGGGATTTATTTGTAGTTGCTTCGATCTATTAATTATTAAATGAATGATTGATATTACATCATCAATATTAATATTATAATATCTTTGAAAATTAATTTCACAATATTGGTTACTGTAAAAAGACAAAGGAATAGGACGGTTTCTATTAGTTTTGAGGTTTTCAACATTTATAAAGCTACTGATATAATTTGGTAATTTATTTTCAACATCTGCATTGTAATGATATTTGTTGATTAATAGTTTGATGATGTGTACTGATAATAGTTTGATTGAAATTGCGAATACAGTGGTTAATACTTCACAACTATTAAATAAATTGGTTAAATAGTTATCTTTTTCAGTGTGTTCATAATCTCCTTCTGGCATTAGATCTAAACAATAATAAACACCTTGAGGACAATTGATGTTGATAAAATGTTTGATGATTTCAGTGAGTTGTGTAATATCTTGATATGATAGTGGTCGATTTGGTTTCTTGTATGAATAGTATAGTCTAGATAAACTATAATCTTTGGTAAGTTCGAATATTGATTTTAATTCTTTTAAATTAAATGTTTCCATGGCATTTTTGAGTGGTATTTCCAAAAAAGTATCGTCAATGAGTTTAGTTTCCTTAGCTTTCTTGGTTCTTATGGGTGTTTCTTTGAAAATATTTAAATTAAATAATTTAAAAATTTTTTTATCTATATATTTAAATAATTCAACATTATTGAATTTGAAGGTGTTCTCATCTATTTTTGGTAGATCATTATAATGAGAGCCCATGATATCTAACATAGAGAATTCGGGATCGAAACCTTTTGTTTGTTCATACAAACTCAAGATATCTGAAATTAAATCGACTGTTTGTTTATCTTTGACTACAAGTAATGTTGTTGTTATTCCCGGTGATTTTTTATTTTTCTTATAATTGTCACATGAACTGTCATTATATTTAATAGAGTCTGTAATTATTTCAGTTGGTATTGTTGTTTTTGTTCTTTTAACCACTTCCTTCCATAATGAATAAATTTCATATTTACATGGTGGTATTGATTCAATTAGTTGGCAGAACTTTTTTTTATCTATTTTGCAAACGTACTTATGAAACATATCCCCTATTGTTTCCCAAATGTCAGATTCCATAAAATTTAAATGGTTTTGATTTTTGAAATAAAATTTGATTGTTTCTATATCTGTTTTAAATGATACCCTAGAATAATAATTTTTGATTTTTTTCCAATTATTTGTGTTGTTTTGTAAAACTAGTTTTAAATTTTCTAATTTGATTGATTCTTCATTTGAAAAATAATTGAATTGAAAACTTTCGACATTATCGTCATCATCGTCATAATGGACACCATCGACATAATGGACACCTTCGACATAATCGTCATCATCGTCATCATCATCATCATCCTTTTTGATATTTTTTCTAATATACTCTAATAGTTTTATTATTCTATTGATATCTTTATTATTATTAATTATATTATCTATTTGGTTTTGGTCATTTTGCTTAACATAATCAGGCAAAAAATATAATTTCATATCTAATAATTGATTTTGATTCTCTATTGATATTGTGTTGAATACTATATCTATAATATCGATTTTATTATTATTATGTATATTATAATATTCTTTATTGCTTAAAACTAGTTGTAATACTCTATCACGTTGGAATAAATCTTTACAGCATTCATAAATATCTTTAATTATTTTATTTTTATATTCATTTGGAGATGTGAAAATTGATTGTATTAAATTTTGTTTA